TGCTGGTCAATTAAGAACAGGGACACCATGGTCCTTAAACCAGGTACTGGTAGTTTTGGCACTGTGTGCAGGTGCCAAGTCCTGTTGGAAAATGAAATGTGCATCTCCATAAAGTTGGTCAGCAGCAGGAAGTCTCTAAAACTTCCTGGTAGATGCTGCATTGACCTTGGACCTCAGAAAACACAGTGGACCAACACCAGCAGATGGCATGGAGCCTCAAACCATCACTGAGTGTGGAAACTTGACACTGGACCTCAAGCAACGTGGATTCTGTGCCTCTCCTCTTCCTCCAGACTCTGAGACCTTGATTTACAAAGGAAATGTAACATTTACTTTCATCAAAGAACATAACTTTGGACCAATTGGCAGCAGTCCAGTCCTTTTTGTCTTTAGCCCAGGCGAGACGCTTCTGATGCTGTCTCTTGTTCAAGAATGGCGGTCATGGCGCGGGAAGACAAGATGGCGCCGTTGTACGTGGCTTGTCGTCTGTCTCTCCTCAACTTGTTACTTTTTGTGCTATTTTTCTTGACTTTTGTTCAGATTGTGTCATCACTGTTTACTTATGACCGCCAGACACTTTTAAATATTAATTCCATCGTGGGAAAAGTACCGTTTCGTGACCTTTATGGACGATCCAAGACTTTTCCTCCACCTCACCTGGCATCCATACCTCCATTTCTACGGAATCCTTGTGTTGTGGTCGCCCGCAGCGGGCGCCGTCGCAGGAGACGCGGCAGGAGGGGTGGGTTGCTTGTGAAGCTTCGGGTTCACTTCGCCTCTTCTTCATTCCAGTCTTCGCGCAAGATTCTCAGGAAATACAACTTTGTGGACACACGATGCCCCATGGAATATTCATACAGCTGGTTACGCATCGTGGATAAGGACACCGGCAGCGGCGCATTTCCTGGTCTTCGGCGTGCAAAGATCTGTAGGCGTGGCAGGGTTCAGGAGAACCTCCGCTCCTTTGGCCACGCATCCCAGGATAACAGCCAGTGCTCCATCCGGATGGCTCTTCTGAACACTAGATCTGTCATAAATAAAACTTTTATTCTCCACGATTTCTTCTGCGCAAACTCTCTGGACTTTCTGCTGCTGACAGAAACGTGGCTGAGACCGGGTGATAACAGCGCGTTTTCTGATCTCTCCCCCTCGGGCTGCTCCTTCTTCAGCTCCCCACGTCTGACAGGCCGCGGTGGTGGTGTTGCCACTATCTATAAGGACAATTTTAAATGCAGACTTCTGCCCACCATCACTTACTCCTCCTTTGAACTTCAGATGTTTGTGATTGAGCTCACCCCGAATGTTTTATGTGCTGTTGCCTATCGCCCACCTAAATATAACAAGGAATTCATTCAAGAATTCTCTGAATTCCTTGCTGATATTATTTCTAATTATGACAGTTTTTTTATTTGTGGAGATTTTAATATTCGTATTTGTTGTCCCACTGACCCACTGGCTTCTGAGTTTTTAAAGCTTTTAGCCTCTTTTAATTGAACACAATCAGTGAATTCACCAACACATCATCTTGGCCACACTCTGGACCTTATTATTTCTCATGGACTGTCCATTTCTCACTGTGAACTTTCTGAGTCTGCCATCTCGGATCATTTCCCTATTTGTTTCCAATTTACAGCCCCCCACCCAGCCAGGAGGCCTCTGGCTGCGGGGTGTCATCGCCGCTGTCTCACCTCAGCCAGTGCCCGACAGTTTACCACTGCTTTTATGGACTCACAGTTTTATTCAGTTGGTCCTGATGTTTCTCTGTGTCCCAAAGATTTCCTGTCATTGTTTTCTGATACCTGCACTGGGATCCTGGACTCTATTGCTCCGGTGAAGTTCAGACACCCTAAACCCAGAGCCGAGCCTTGGCTGAAAGATCCTCCTGCATGCAAACTCAGGAGACAATGTAGAAGGGCTGAAAGACAGTGGAAGCATGACAGGCAACATGATTCTTTGGTTTTATTAAGGAGAACTCTTGTTCTGTATCAGAGATCTGTTAATGATGCAAAATCACAATTTCTGTCTAACATTATCACAAACAGTAGCCACTGCCCCCGGGTGTTATTTAATACAATTAACTCTGTTTTAAATCCACCCACCTCAGTCTTACCTGATGCCTCAGCCTCCACCTGTGAGAACTTTCTCTCCTTTTTTATTGATAAAGTTGCATCGGTCAGACAAGCCACAGGCACACCTGCTACTTCTGTTTCAGACTGTTCTTTTATCTCTGCTGGTTCTGCTTTATTTGACCAGTTTGAACCAGTGTCTTATTCCCTCTTGGACAAAATAGTCAAATCCATTAAACCCACCAACTGCCCCACTGATTTTCTCCCCACCAGATTATTGAAAGAGGTATTTAATATTGTTGGTCCTTACCTTCTTCCTTTTTTCAATTCATGATTGTCCATTGGAATTATGCCTTCTGCTTTTAAACATGCAACGGTCCGCCCCCTTCTCAAAAAAACAAATCTTGATCCCTTGGTTTTATCAAATTTTAGACCTATTTCTAATTTATCCTTCCTCTCCAAAGTTTTAGAAAAAATTGTTCTTATGCAAATTCAGCCTTTTCTGGAAAAAAACACAATCCTGGATAAATTTCAATCTGGTTTTAGATCCCGACATAGCACAGAATCTGCATTATTGAAAGTTCATAACGACATAGCTCAGTCAGTTGACTCTGGGTGCCCAGTAGCTCTGGTGCTCCTCGACCTCACAGCGACCTTTGACCCTGTGGACCACTCTGTCCTTCTGTCTCGCCTCCATGATGTTGTTGGGATTCGTGGTACTGCTCTGAAGTGGTTCACGTCCTATTTATCTGATAGAACCTTTTCTATCTTGTTCAATGGCTCCTCTTCCTCTACAGCCCCTCTTCTGTGTGGGGTGCCACAGGGTTCCATTTTGGGTCCTTTGCTCTTTTCATTATACATGTTGCCACTTGGATCTATTATAAGACAACACAATGTCAACTTTCATTTTTATGCAGATGATTTGCAGATCTATTTACCATTAAGGCCAGGATCCAATAACCCAATGCTTTCTCTCTTCGACTGCATCTCTGCAATCAAACATTGGCTAAATAAGAACTTCCTGTTTTTAAATGACAGTAAAACAGAATGGATTTTATTTGGTGACAAAGATGCAACTGGCCTGGGAAACTTGGACATTAACTTCAGTGACTGTGTGAATAACCTTGGGGTGACCTTTGATAAGGCTTTACACTTTGACAAACATATCACCTCTGTTGTCCGGTCGGGATTCTTTTATTTACGCCTTTTAAAAAAGGTCAAACCCTTTTTAAATTGTCGCGACCTGGAGAAAGCTGTTCATGCTTTTATCAGTTCTAGGCTCGATTATTGTAACGCTCTGTATGTCGGTGTACCACAGTCATCACTGAGTCGCCTCCAGCTTGTACAGAATGCAGCAGCGCCTTTTAACCAACACTCCTAGATGGGACCACATCACACCTGTTTTATTCTCACTACATTGGCTCCCTGTCCGTTTTAGAATAGATTTTAAACTTTTATTATTTGTTTTTAAAGCTCTGAATGGCCTCGCTCCTCCTTATAGAACTGAGTTGCTAAGTTTCCCCGCCCGCTCCAGATCTTTGAGGTCAGACAGCTCCTGCTCTCTGTTCCAAGGACTAAATATGAACGCTGGGGTGACCGTGCCTTTTCTGCAGCCGCACCTCGACTCTGGAATAAGCTCCCACTTGATCTGCGTCAGATTACTGAACTTGGTCCTTTTAAATCGAAGCTTAAGACTTTTTTATTCCAACAAGCTTTTAGTACGTAAATATGTGGTGACATTTCTGGTTTTATTTGTGCTATTATGTTGTGTTTTCTTGCTTTTAACCTATTGTCATTTTAAGTACTGTTTTTTGTTCAGCACTTTGGTCACCATCACCATGGTTGTGTAAAGTGCTATAGAAATAATTAAATAATAAAATAAATAAATTAAATAAATAAATAAGAATGTCTTGACAAAAGGAATGCAACAGCTGAAACCCATGTCTTGCATATGTCTGTGCATGGTGGTTCTTGAAGGACTGACTCCAGCTGCAGTCCACTCTTCGTGAATCTCCCCCACATGTTGGAATGGGTTTTGTTTCACCATCCTCTCCAGGGTGCAGTTATCTCTACTGCTTGTACACTTTTTTTCTACCACATCGTTTCCTTCCCTTCACCTCTCTATTAATGTGTTTGGACACAGAGCTCTGTGAACAGCCAGCCTCTGTAGCACTGACCTTTTGTGTCTTGTCCTCCTTGTGCAGGTGTCAATGGTCGTCTTTTGGACAACTGTCAGTCAGCAGTCTTCCCCATGATTGTGTAGCTACAGAACTGGACTGAGACCATTTAAAGGCCTTTGCAGGTGTTTTGAGTTAATTATCTTATTAGAGTGTGGCACCAGGTGTCTTCAATATTGAACCTGTTCACAATATTCTAATTTTCTGAGATACTGAATTTGGGGTTTTCATTAGTTGTCAGTTATAATCATCAACATTAAAATAAATAAACATTTGAAATATATCAGTCTGTGTGTAATAAATATAATGTACAAGTTTCACTTTTTGAATGAAATGACTGAAATAAATTAACTTTTTCATTATGTTCTAATTTTATGACCAGCACCTGTACACACTTCAGTTCTGCAAAGGTGCCTGCTATCTACACGCTTCGTTTCTTGAAACGCTCCTACTATCTACACGGTTCGGTTCTCCAAATGCACCTGTTATCTATGTTTCAGTTCTCCAAACACACCCGTTTACATCTTTATGCACCTATAATATAAACACACTTGTTAAAATCTAAAAACACCTGTTTTCTATATGTATCAGTTATCCAAATGCACCTGCCATCCAAACATATCATCTATACGCACCTATTGATCTTTCTACATGCACCTGTCATCATCCAAACTCGCATGTAGTTATCCATACACACCTGTACACATTTATCCATCTCCAGTATATACACTTGTATGCACCTGTTCCTGTGTTGCAGGCAGTGTGTACGGTCTGTCGTTCAGGACTCGGATCGATGAGGATAATTGTATTGCTTTGATGCCCAATGGTAAAATCTCCATTCAGGTTACCTTTTCCAGTTTGTTTAATGTCTCTTCAGTTCACGCTGTCCAAAATAAACGTGTCCCTCTGCCTGCAGGACGCCTGATTCTATCTTTGGACAAAGACTCGTTTGAGTTGTTGGGGTTTGAGGGGAAACCGTCCAGATTGGACCACAGAAGCTGCAGCAGATTCGGTCCGAGTTCTACTTTGGTCATTTATACAAATTACATTTCCTGTTCAGAGAGGTCTAGACCAGGTCTACATCAGCCTGTCCTGGTTTCTGGTCTGATCAGTGTCAATAACGTCTAACGTGAATGTGTTCTGCAGTGGTTTCTGTGGACTTGACAGACAGTAGCATGGCTCCGGGCGGGCGGGGCTATCAAAGACTCCTGACGGGTTTGAAGTCCCGCCTTCAGATCAAGAATGACTTTCTGCTGTCACATCATCCAGGTGATATCATTGATCAGGTTTCTGTTTCTCATGATGCTCTCCTGCTCACCCAGTGACCTACGCTCTGCCTCTGTCCTGCAGGGGGTAGGGCCTCCTTGCAGCCCCTCCTGTCGCGTTACGATTGGTCCGAACACAGACCCAAAGTCAGCTGTCGCCGTCTGACTGACTTGACCTGCCCTGCCCCCCAGTCATGTGACCCCCACACTCTCCTGGAGTGGCTTGGGATTGTGGAGACAGACGTCAGCAGGTAAGCCGTATGTTCCAAGACACGACTGTCATGTGTGTCATGTGACCGTCTCATTCTTCTTCTGTGGTTTCAGTCAGAACTCATCCAGCAGCTTCCTGTCTTCGTTTGTCTGCCCTGAAACCGATGCCATGTTGAGTTGTGCTCTGAGCGTGTCTATTAGCGGCCTGCTGCTGCCGCAGGACGTGCAGCGCCTCATTCAAGAACTCAGGTAATAGAACACACTTACAGGGAACTTGTCTATACTTAAGGTAAAAGAGTCCCCTGTTTGACTCTCCTTTACCTGGACTGGTGACTCACTTTTTTCCAGGTGTTATCTTCAGCAGCCTCAGACGGAGTCCTGGGTGTCCCTGACGGTTCACGGCTTTACAGACAGTCCGGTCTCTTGGGGGGACAGCGAGCATGGCGTCCTGACTGGAGGACATAACTTCTTCACTCTGTTGATGTTCCATGACCATACCTACCGCCTCTACCTCTCTACGGAGACGCTCCACACCTGTCCACCCTGAGGCCTAGTCCCCGGGACGTGGTCAGAGGTCGGGGTTTGGCTGTGAGGATCTGTTGGATCATAACCTGCAGCTGTTGGACACTGGCTCAGAAGTTCCAGAACTTTACCAGAAGACATGTGGACCCATCCAAAAACTGAGCAGAGAACTAAGGCTGCTTGAGGTCCTAAGGAGACTCCTTGCAGACCCTCTGTGTCTCTTCAGGATCCCTCTTGTGTCTCTGCTGTCTGTTCTTGTGGACCCTCTGTGTCTCTTAAAGACCCCTCTGTGTCTCATTAGGGCCCCATGAGCTGTTCCTGATACATATTTGACTGATGTTGCTTTGGAAACAGATTAGACCTTTAATCACGTAGTAAACATGTTAGGTTGTAAAATATTTGTATTCGCTGTAGCACCTCAGAGCAAACAGGAAGTCAAAAACAACTGCTTCCTGTCTGAGCTGCTCCAAGTTCTGGTTCTGAGTTTTGTATGCAAGAAGCTTAACCCGTTTCGGTTTGTTGATATTTCTTGATCATTGTTCATTTTGTTACATCAAAATAAAAACAAATTAAAGGGTTTCTTTCTCTTTTAATATTTGATGTTTTACATCAAATCCACAGAAAAATAGAACCTTTTAAGCTGTCACTGATGAGGACACATCTACATCCTGGAACCACAGGGTGGGCTGGGACGCGTCTACATCTTGGAACCAAAGATTAAACTGCAGAGTGGGCTGGGCATATCTGGATTCTTTTCTGGGTCTGAAGTCAGCGTTCTGCTGAAACAGCAGTCCTGGTCTGGATCCAGGTTCTAGCAAAGGTCAGTTCTTCTCTGCAGATACTGTAGGATTGAGTCTGTTCCTTGCATGGAGCTCCACACTCTCTTTAAAGCTTCACACTCTCGCTCATTGGCTTGCTCCAGAGCACTGCGGCTGGTGTTCCTCATGAGGGCTTTGGACTCCTGTAGAACCTGCAGAACAGGAACCAAAACTTTCTGTGTTAACAGGGTGCTGCGTGTGTGTGTGAAAGTGCGTGTGAGACTGACCAGAGGGTTGACAGCCACCAGCTCTTTGACCCGCAGCATCACTTCCTGCGTGAAAGTTCCAGGCCACAAAACCTGCGACACCAAGCCTTTAGAACATGCCTCCTGCGCTGTCAGCTTCCTGCCACCCAGCAGCAGCTCATTGGCCTGCAGGAAGACAAGTGGTGAAAAGGAGAAGGGGGCCAGTTGAGGGGGAGGGTGGTGGCGCACTCACCGCAGCCAGCCCCATGATACGGGGGAAGGTAAAGGAGGCACAGGCATCGGGCGTCTGGCCGCAGAACGTATATGGTGTCTGGAACCAAGCCTTCTCATTGGCCCACACCACGTCACAGAGCGGAAGGAGGGCAGCGCCCAGGCCGAGCGCTGGCCCGTTCACTGCTGCCACAATGGGCTTCCTGAAGTGGATGAAGGTGTTGACGAAGGTCCTGAGGAAGAGGGCAGGTCAGACGATGTCAACAACACAGGATGACATCACAGCCTTTCCAAGGAAGTACCTGATAGTTTCAGCCATTTTGATGCTCTCCTTCTTCCTGTCGTCAGTCAGCCGTCTAATGAAATACAGGAAATCCAGGCCGAAGCAGAAAACGCTGCCGACAGCACCGAGCAGCACCAGCCTGCTGTCGTCAGACGCTGCCGTCGCCATGGCACTCTGGATCTCCTTCATCGCCTGACTCAACATTAGTCACAGTGGCAAGAAGAGGTGGGCAGAGCTTCCTTAACTGACTTCAAAAGCACCTCTGACAGAAACTTAACCTATGGGTCCTGCTGTGGACATGGTCTGACATTTGATGTTTGCTAGTGGGTGTGGTCTAACATTTGAGGAGTTAATGGGTGTGGTCTCACAGTTGATGTGTTAGTGGGTGTGGTCACACCTATACATCTGGGTGTGGTCTGAAATTTGATGCATTAGTGGGTGTGGTCTAACCTGATACTTGTTCGTGTGGTCTAACATTTGAGGCATTAATGCGTGCAGTATAATGTCTGACGTGTTGTGGGTGGAGGCTACCATGGGAGAAGAATTAGGGCATGGCCTATCGTTTGAGCATGGTCTTACCTCAGGGTTGAGCATATTGTTCTCGGAGCTCCTGGTAGAAAGTAATATGTGAGTGAAGCCATCTTGTTTTTTCACCACAATGTCACGATAACGATAGGCGCTCTCTGTCTGACGGACGCTGAACCTCAGGCGTTTATCGAATGTAGAGTGCTCCTCAAGGCGCCGCTTCCCAATCATGCTGGTTGCTGCGGTAACAACACTATGAAACGCCGGCATACTGCTGGCTGCAACGGCCTCCATCAGCGCAGCATTTCCTGGAGTGGATGGAGCAGATCAGACCAGATATCAGACTGGACCAAAGATATCAGACCAGAGATCAGACCGGATCACAAATATCAAACCAAAAATCTGACCAATTGATTAACAGGTGATGAAGGTAGGGAGGGCTGAAACCTGCGGTCTGTCTCTGAACTCACCTGAGCCACTGAGACTGTGCATGGCGGCAGGTGTGATGGGGACATGTGGTGGAAGCGGCAGTGGGTTCTGGTTCCGGGGTCTGGTCCCCATACGGGCTCTCTCCTCTCCAGGCCCCAGCTGTACTCCCACTGGTTTCTCCAGCAGGGCTACCTCTGGTGGCACCAGGTGAGCCTCCTGAGCGCTAGCTTCTAGGCTGTGAGCCGCCTCGCTGGGAGACTTCTCTGAGTCTAGTTGGGGATTAACTGGACTCTTAGGAACTAGGATCTTGATGCCGCTCTTTGAAAGATCCACACTGCGGTGGGCGGAGCCAGCTGGAGATACCAACATAAAGACGTCGCTGACTGCAGGCGGAGCTGGCTGGGTGCTGATGGGAGGGGGGCAGGGCAGGTGGTTCAGACTGAGTGGAGTTTTCACCCGAGCCCTGTCTCCTGGCAGTCCTTTGCTGACATCAAAGCTAGAGTCATTGCGAGAAGTGGTAGGTAGTGGCCTGCAGGGCAGCCTGAGGGTGGAGCTATAATGAGGGCTGCGGGTGGAGCGCAATAAGGTGGTGTCTCGCTGGCGGTTAAAGTCCTGGACGTAGGTCATGCAGGTGGACAAATGACTCTCAGGCTCCCAGGTGTCCCCATCGGAACTATAACCCCTCCACCGGACAAGGTACTCCACCTTCCCTTTCCTAGTCCTCCTTCGGTCCACAATCCTCTCCACCTGTGAGACAAAACCATTCCAGGATCAGACCAGCAGGCTCTGGAATCTAAAAATCCTAAACCTTGGTTCAACCTAACCCCTGTAGTATAATCTAGTGTGCTGTAGTACAATTTGGTGTGCTACAGTACAATCTGGTGGGTAGCAGTACAATCTGGTGTAATGTAGTATAATCTGGTGTCACTTCACGACTTGCTCAAGCCGAGATCGGATGCTTCCCTCCCCCTCCCTCTCCGCTTTGCTGCTCTGTCTGTCTGTGAAACTGCTTCTGAGACTCTCTTGCATTTCTTCCGAACCATAATTATGGACTTTTTGATCAGTTGGTCCCTCAACTCAATTTACAACATTTCTTCGAAGAGAAGACAGGCTTTAGGTGAGCCGATTTACCCTGTTGGCACGCACGCAGCTGGATATCTCATCGACTGGAAGACTTGATGATGTGTCTATCTCTGCTGCCATCTGTGGATTTTAAGGACGCATATTTAATTGGATTCACAATAACTGGTTCCTGCTTTTTGGATTCAGCTGGTCCTGGTCCTATCTACAATCAAGGAAGTCGTCAGCAGCAAATTTGGACCCGATCATTCTGCTTGCCTTTATGATGGTTTGGTTTCATGTCTCGAGTACCCGGACTCAAATGCTTTGGGCTGAATGGATCAGATCTTGGGGATTTTTACTCAGACATGTTCCATCGGTGTGGCCATGTTAATTTGGACATTTCGGAACCGAGTGGACCAAACGCAGACTCAAGGTTGATGTCATTAAGTTCTGCCTGTCCCCAAAACAACTGTGTGTTTATCTAAATTTTGGTCGCCTTGGTGTCCTTGAAGGCCATCTTATCTGAATTCACCTGGAGAACATGTGATCTGACGCTCACCACCC